TAAAAATTATATTTTATTTAATAAAAATGTAATAATAAATCTTTAGATGATTTTTATTATATTTTGGTGTTTTAAAATTTTAATCTATATATATAATGTTGGTGTTAAAACAAATCAAACTCATATATTTACAGAAAGTTTGAAAAATGCTAATTTAAAAAATTTAAGTTACTAATTAAGTTACTAATTTTTAGATAATGTTATAAATTTTTTTTTAGATTTTTAACCAATAAAACCCTTCAACTATCTTTAATATGGGGGTTTACTTATTAGTTTGGAGGGTTTTACCCAAAAAAAAACGTAGTTAAGGTATTTTAGAGTTAAAAATCCATTTTACAAGGATAAGAAATCACGCTTATATTTACAAAAAAATTTAAAATGCTAGTTTTGAAAATTAAAATTACGAATTTTTTGATAATGTTATTATATTTTCATTTTTTTATTTTTTATGTTTAATGATAAAACCCCTAAACTAAAAATTTACCGGTAGCACTGGTAATTATGACTGACGAGGGTTCAATTCACTAAATAAAGGTAGTTTGGAGGTTTTTTTCATTAAATACTTAGTTTAGGGGTTTTTATCCAAAACAAACTTAGTTGAGGGGTTTTTATGTTAAAAATCCTATGATTAAATGATATCAGACCCACTTGAACACAGGTTGGATACAAAGAATAAGTACATTTTTACCACCAGACCACATTATGTTTATATTCTCTTATATTATAAATATATATAGTATTTCTATATTAAAAAACGATAAATATTTATAAAATTAACACTTTATTGATTCGAACTCTTGTTGGATTGATGAATCTGTAAGCGTGTAAACACTAGACGATTTAAATTAACATATTAACTAATATATTCTGAATATATATATTTGATTTATATATTTAACGGGTACCCAGAACCGAACCGAAACCGAACCGAAACCGAACCAAAATCTCATAAGTACCTATTGGGTATAAGAATGATTTATCCGATATATCCGGAACCGAATGATTCCTATTCGGAACCGAACCGAATATCCGAATGCCCAAGCCTACTATTAGGTTTGTCTGTGATTTGCCAATACGAATCTAACATTTATTTTGTAAGTTTTAAAAATAAACACATCTTTCTACCTTTTAGTCAAACCTACATTAAATCACTAATATTCATTTCTTTGTATTACTATCCATGTTTCCAAATAATAAACTCATTTCTTTATACTACTATTCATGTCTCCAAACAACATTATAATTAATCTTATGTCTAAAAAATACAAAATATTAGATCTTACTCTTTTTAATAATTTCTCACAATTTCTTTCAAAATATTTAAATAAATTAAATAATATACAAAACAACAAAAAAATAGAGTTTATTTTTACTGGTTTAAATATTACATACAATTATCCATTGGCTCAATCGGTTACTCTCGGGTTTTAGTATTAAAATATAAATGTTTTAAAAAGTCAAAAGATTTTGATATACTATTAACATCAAAAGTATCTAAACATTCAATATTATTTTTAACAGATACATTTAAGTTTGAATTTGATTTAACACTTTGAACAAACATAGAAAATTAGTATTTTTACTACACGGTTACATTTACATAATAAACTGTTTGACACTATTAATACAAAATACCGTTTTGATATTGTTCTTTAAACATAAAGTCAAATTGGACAAACTCGAAACTAGATAAAACTAAATTATAGAAAATACATCTAAACAAAATAATATATATGCGAGGGTGTGATCTAGTATTTTTAAAATTTTTTATTTATATAACGTTTTTTCTGTTTTGGACCCACTTTAATATATGTTTTATATTTTTAAAACTGAATGTCAATTTTCTTTGTTATATATTTTCTAAGCAAACAGATTGATATATATTTTTATTTTGATTATGTTATTATTAAAAATATTATAATGACATTGTAATATATTATTAGAAATTTATGAACAAATATACGAAAAATGGTAAATTTATGCTTCCATTTAACTTTTACAGTCTTATTATATGTTATATAATTTTGATTTCAATCAATCTCTATAATATTATTTGAGAAGTCAGTTTCCTACGTGTCGCGCTCACGTCAACTTTCGCGATGGTTGATTACATAGATACCCTTAATGAATTGTTAGATTTTAAGATTATTATTTTTATTTAGTTTTTTTAAACTTTTTCCAAATAACATATATAATAAAAAAAGAAATATTTCTAAAATTTTAAAACAAAATAGAAAACGAAAATATATGTATATAATATGATTTTATTAAAAAGGAAAGTTCACAAAATAGTAACACCCCCATTAATATATATTTTTAAATTACATAAAATATACTTTCAAAATAATAAAAATATATATGTTCATGAACATCAAAAAGTATGTCAGTTATACTTTATTTTCTAATATTTTTAGAAATCAACTTATAATTTGATAAATATTATGAAAATACATGTATATTTAAGCGATAAATAAAACTAATTTGATTTGACTTAACTAAAATAAAGAGTAAATAAATATTTTGAAAATACATGTANGATAAATATTATGAAAATACATGTATATTTAAGCGATAAATAAAACTAATTTGATTTGACTTAACTAAAATAAAGAGTAAATAAATATTTTGAAAATACATGTATATTTAAGCGATAAATAAAACTAATTTGATTTGACTTAACTAAAATAAAAAGTAATTATACTTCAGTTTTAAGAAACATTTCTAAAATTTTAAGAGAAATTTAAAAACGAAAATATATGTATATAATATGAATTTATTGAAAAGGAAAGTTCACAAAATAGTAATATCTCCATTAATATATATTTTAAATAACATAAAATATATTTTCCAAATAATAAAAATATATATGTTCATGAACATCAAAAAATTTATCAGTTACACTTTATTTTCTAATATTTTTTAGAAATCAACATATAATTTGATAAATATTATGAAACTACATGTATATTTAAGCGATAAATAAAAATAATTTGATTTGACTTAACTAAAATAAAAAGTAATTATACTTCAGTTTTAAGAAACATTTCTAAAATTTTAAGACAAATTTAAAAACGAAAATATATGTATATAATATGAATTTATCAAAAAGGAAAGTTCACAAAATAGTAATATCTCCATTAATATATATTTTTAAATAACATAAAATATATTTTCAAAATAATAAAAATATATATGTTCATGAACATCAATAAATTTATCAGTTACACATTATTTTCTAATATTTTTAAAAAATAAACATATAATTTGATAAATATTATGAAACTACATGTATATTTAAGCGATAAATAAAAATAATTTGATTTGACTTAACTAAAAAAAGAGTAAATAAATATTATGAAAATACATGTATATTTAAGCGATAAATAAACTAATTTGATTTGACTTAACTAAAATAAAAAGTAATTATACTTCAATTTTAATTTAAAAATATATTAACTCTATATACTCACAAAATGAATGACTCGACTAATATAATTTATATCCAAAATTAAACATCTAACTACAATAAGAAAATATAATTTTGTAATAATAATAATAATAATAATAATAAATATAATATATTTAATTCTATACATATAAATTAGAGACTGGCTCAAAGCATATTAAAAAGAAAAATAAAATATTAATTAATTACAAATTAATTCTTTTAGAATTTATATATATGCATGAGACTTCAAAATATTATCATTATATTCATATGTAATTTTGAATCAAACACTTCAGCTTATTATGTATTTCATTTTCTAAATATATTTACATATCTAAGAATATATTTACATATCTAAAGAAAATAACCAACCAAAAGGAAAATAAAAAATTAATCAAAGTTTTATTATATTTAGAATAAAAAAAATTATAGCTGAATTCGAAAAAATAGATATTATCGAATATACCGAATTGATAACCAAACCGACTATCGATCCGAAATATAATTAAACCGACAATAATATATCCAAAGTCATATGTATAATTAGAATAATATACTATTTATTAATATAAATTATACATATAAATTGATTCAAAACTCAAACTAAATATCAATCAATTATTATAAAATTTTACTTTCATGAATATTCATGAAAATTGATACCCGTGCATGAGTACGGGAAAATCACCTAGTTACTTTAAACAGCCATGTCAGATTGGTTTGGGTCTGTAAAAAATTTGATTTCGAATTTGGACCAAACTCTGGTTTATTCTATCACTGAATCACGATTTGGATAGAAGAAATTGATTTATTTTGGGCCAGCGAGATCTGGCTGGTTTTTTATTTGATAGTCATTTTGGTTTTTGCCTGAAAAATCTTATTTCGATTTTGGCCCAAAACCCGGTTTGTTTTATCACCGACTCACGGTTTCCGATTACGATGCGGAGATATCTAGAACAATCTCCTCTCTCGCCTTTTGACTTCCCCAGATGAGATCACTTTAGTTTTTCCAGTAATCAAACCCGCCTTCATTTCTAATCAATTCTTGGCTTCAGTCTCATCAATCTTCAGTTTCTCTTATTCAATGGGTTTTTCCTTTCGCCTCCCTCTCCAACTTCGTATTTATAGGCCTCTCTTCTTAGCTTATCTTTCGATTAAGCTTTCTAAGAACCTCTACTCACTCTCACAAACTTTCTGATGGAACCCAAATCCAAATCCTCAGTCCCTACCGGCTAGAAGACCAACAAGAAGATTATGACATCCTCCGCGACTGCTCAGCAAAAGGGGAACTCTTTCTCAACAATATTTTCAGCCTTAACTATTTTCATGTGTCACTGACAGAGTTCTAATAGAGAACAACGCTAGCGATGATGCCACTGTTATTCAGGTTACATACTTTCGTGTCTATTTGTTTTGATCTGTTTGTTTGTTTATTTGTTTCAGCATGAAAATAACACTAATATACAAGTATTTTTTTTTCTCTGTATTTACTCCATAAAATAATTATTTGGTATAATTTTCACAGTTCGTCTCCAATTCTGTCGAGCAGATTATGTTCCTGGATCCAAGTAAGTTTAAAATGTGTTTGGGGTTTATATATGAATTACTTTTCTTATAATGAATTTTTTTTACTAAATAATTAGTCTACTGCCTTCATAAAGACACAGTAGTTGATTTAATCATCGCAGAGGTAAGTAAAGCTGTTTTGTTAATCTCACTATGTTTCAGTTATTGCAGTGCTTATGGCCATTGATTATCTCTGTATTTGGAAGCCATGGTCAAAGTATTCAGTGACTGACCCGAGAAATTGATACTGAAGTCTGTGAAGCTCTTAAGGAAGAAAGAAGTTTCAAGTGGAGAGGACACGATTGAGTTGGATCTTGAAGAAGAGTTCTCGAGTTTGGCTCTTGATATTATACGGATTAGTGTGTTCAACTACGACTTTGACTCTGTCACAAAAGAGTCCCCTATGATTAAGGTTTTTTTATTTATTGGAATTGTCTATTAGCATGCTGGTCCAGTCCCTTCTTGAATGTTTCTGTTATACATCACAGGTGGTGTATGGAACTCTGTCCGAGGCAGGGCATCGGTCTACTTTCTACTTCCCCTATTGGAACTTTCCTCCAGCCAGATGGATAGGTCCAAGGCAAAGAAAGGTGCAAAGCGATCTCAAGATTATAAACGATTGCCTTGATGGAATCATTCAAAAGGAAAAAGAGACAAGACAGGTGTTTCACTACTTGCCGCTCTCTTCATTCTACTGTTCAGTTTCTGACTTTGTTATCTCTGTTTCTCCCAGGAAAAAGATGTAGAGAAGCTCCAGCAACCTGACTACTCTAATCTCAAGGATCTGTTATCTTTTATCTCCTGCATCTCTACTAAAGGTTATGAAATTTTTTTATTTTGTTTTCTTGGATTCACAGACTTCAGTAGCTCCTGCATCTTTACTACAAATTATGAAAGTTTTTTTATCTTTTTTTTTCTTGGATTCACAGACTTTAGTAGCTCCTGCATCTTTACTGCATCTTTACTCATGACTTGATGACTATGATAAGTGCTGGTCACGAGACAACAGCAGCTGTTTTTACTTGGGCTGTTAACCTTCTTGCACAAGTATGTTCTTAAATGTTTTATTCTCATTTTTTCCATGACTGCCTAAAAAGCTCATTGTACAGTTATTTAGTATTTTGCTTCTAAACTTGCAGAATCCTGAAAAAAATAGGAAAGCTCAAGCTGAGATTTATACTGTACTTGGTGAAGGTGCACCTATTTATAAATCATTGAAAAAGCAAGAGTCCGTTAATTTATAAATTATTTCGTACATCTTTCTTTTGGTCTGTTTTTTCGATCATTGAATTCTTTGCTCAATGCTTCTGCAGGTACATACGACTCATCATTGTAGAATCCCTTCGTCTATATCCTTTCTCATTTTTATTGTCATGTACGGAAAGACAGAACCACAAGGTTTCAACTGGAGATTTCAAAACCTATTGGTATATACTTTCACATAAACTTTTGTGCTTTCCTTGAGTTATGAACCACACATGCCTCTAGAGAATGAATCACTTATTAGAAATGTTAACGTCTTGAAGGCAAACAGGCTACAAAAAGGACATGTATCTTTGTATAATTGTATTTCTTTTTTTTCACAGGAGAACCTCAAAAGTGAAGTAGTCTGGACATGAAAACTTAAGAATTTTTATGCTCCACTTCATAACAAACTTGGAATCTTTCTTTCCTAGATTTTAGAATCATGATTGTTATAGTGTTACTTATATGTTAACTTTGTCACTCTTTACCAGGAGCTTTGAGATCACTTAAAGTCCAAGGTTAGTAGGTTACATATGGAAGCTTAAAAAAGCCTCCATGAGCGGATCCAAAAAGAGTATTATTCCTATGTATCATGAAGATTATCTGATGTAGTTTAATTCATGTGGTGTTTGTCCAATGGTCCATGTATTTAGAGATTGAAAAAACAGGAACTGTTACCTACATATCATGTTTTGGGAAACAAGAAAAGTTACTAGAGTACAAGAGCTCTTCCTTAATGCCATCACCAAAGCAATGCAATAACACATTTGCAGCAACCGTATTTGGTCTAGAGACAAACTGCAAAGCAGACGATTCTGCTTCAATACCAAGGAAACTTTGTCTATCTAACTTTGTGTTTGTTTCAATTTGAGTATAGTTAAAGAAATATTTTTATCCATATAAGAGAACACGACGAGAAAGCTATATTGTAATCTTTGAAAAATAACCATATTTTTAGAGAGCATTGTACAACCAGACCCCATATGTAATAGTAATAGTAATTAGGTTTCCTAATTAATACATCAGGGCAAAAAAATATGTGCGTTTGTGGAATGAACTGTGGAGATGGGGTATTAATTTCGATGGGTTTCTCTCCTTTCACTGCAGCTGAAATCATTGATATAGAAATCAACACCAGAGTCATTTAAATTTATGCTTTGTTTTTGATTTCATGCTCAGTTTTTCAGCTCATTTCATGCTTTGTTTTTCAACTCATGCTCAGTTTCAAATTTCCTCCAACTTCTTTCTAGAAGATTGCCTTGGTTCATTTTATGCACTTTCTATCACGTTCAAAATGTAATAATGTGAATTGGGGATTCTACTAACCAAACAAATAAAGAAAATAGAAGCATTTATTAATTTTACTAACCATTGATTAGTTATACTAGATTTTACGTATATGTTTCAAAAAGAAATAAGCTTTACATACCCCCCTAAACTCTCATCAAAAAGAAAAAGTTATGGCAACTAGGGGTGTCATTCGGGTTCAGTTCAATCTATTTGGGTTTTATAAAATTCGGTTAGGGTTCTGTTCAGATCGGATTTGGATAATTTATTTTTGAAATTTTAAAATTCATCTATTTTAATTTTTCTCAAAATCTACAAGAAAGAATAATATATCTTAAATAGTAAAGTCAAGTTTTTTTCTCCGGGGAAAAATAGTAACACTTGCTAAGTGTTTTTTCGATGAAGATAACATATAAATTTAAGTAATGTATGCCAAAATATCTAAATTTAACATAAAAGTTAGTTTGACTTCAATATTTGGATGAAGAATCAATATATATATTAAGCATTTTTGGTGTTTTGAGTATTGTTTAGCTATTTTATATATGTTTAATTTTCACTTCTGTATATATTTTAAGATATTTTGGGCAACTTCAAAATATTTTATATATATTGGATTTTTAGGTTATTAAGTCTAAAAATAAATAATATTCAAGTATGTAAATCTGATTCGGATGTACTCGGATATCCAAAATATTTTGGTTCGGACTCTAAATATCAAAATTTTGATCCGCTCGGATATTTAGCCAGTTTCAATTCGAATTAAGTACTACTTTTCCAGATCATATTTGGTTCGGTTCTTCGAGTTCAGATTTTTTTGCCTAGCTCTACCGGTAACAAAATGGAAAATGTTACAAGTTATAGTTACAAACTTATTACTCTTTACATCTATGTATCATACTACTTTTCCAAAACATAATTCTAAATAAGTGAAAATATCCAAAAAGGGTTTAAGTTACATCTGTTCAGCTCTCATTTTAATAAAAACTTTCAAATTCTTTCTTCTAAATCTATAAATTACTAAAATATTAAATCTGATACATTTACATTTACTAAAATGATATACATTTAAATGTGATTAAATGAGACACATCAAGACTAAAAATAGAAAAAAATAACAAAGCATAAAAAGATCAAAAACATATGACCAAATTAATGATATGTGAGACAAAAATAAATATAAATCAATATAACTAAATAAATACGTTTGAATTAGGAAATAATCAATACATTTATTACAACTTTTTAAAGTAAAAATACATCTATTACATTTGAAAAAATACACTTAACAAAAATATGACAACAAAAACATAACGGCACGGCATAGTAATTTTTTTGCATAACAAAAAACCCGGGCGTAGCCCGGGAAAAAGTTCTAGTATATATAAAATTAATTCAATGATTCATTTGTACGCATGCAAAAATATAAACATTTACAAAATAATTATATGATTACGATTTTTTCCTAATCAAAATAGTTTTTTATAAAAATTTTAAATTATTTTTAAGATCTACGATATAAAATTTATAAATTATTTTTAAAATCTAAGGTATTAGAAGACTTTCACCAACTAATGGTAAATCAAAATACTGGTGATAATGGTTCCTGAAATTATTCTCACGCACATGGTTATAAAGGTAAATTTCAATACTGATTTTTTTTTGGTCATAAGAAGCTGTTGTAATTTCATTAGTTTGGGTTAATTTTGCATTTGTTGGAGTAAATATTTGCATATCAAGTTTTATCTCATATTTGGCAAATCCCCTATAAAATATTTAGTTTATATATATAAATATATATATATATATAATATTTAGTTTATATATATATTATTATTTTTCAATATATTATCTTTTTAAAACTTCTGTGGAAATATGATATAAGATAATCATTTTTTTAAACTATTTTCTTATTATTCATTTGATAAAAAAATATATTCATAATATTCTTTATATTTAGAAAATAATTTCTAAATTACTTATTTTCATTTTTTGGAACCTATGATTTATATATTTTTAATTCTATACTTTTGTCATCAAAATACATACTTAAGCAAGACTATACGAAACATTAACATATTTGTTACAAGTTTTAGATCATTTTGTAAATTATATGTACTAAAAATAATTTTTTTTATACATACATTTGATTTTGCTTATAAGCATTTTGGTCGATTTAGTTATTTAAAAAATATATTCTACTGCATTTTTTTTTATTTTTTTCATTTAAAACATAATTGTTAAATGGTTTTTTTTTTTTGCAAATTTGACTCAAAACTCAAAGTCAAACACAAAATTACTCTCCTTTTATTTTTTTTTTGCACTATTCACCTCACATATTCACATTATTTATGAAAATGCAACTAACTTTTTTTCTTTCGAAAATGGCATTTTTACTCTCTCAACCTCATCATCTTTAAGTATTTACAACATTGCCATTGCCATCAATACCCCAATCACCATGAACAACCAATTTGAAACTCTTAATACACCTAAAATCGATTTACATTCTCGCTTTCTCAATTGTTATGAACCAAAAACAACATCTCTTTCACTTTGTCTCCATATTCATCCAAAAAACTCAAGTTTTTTATTCAATTTTTTTTTATGGTTGATAGAGCAATTTAAGCATACTATTCTTGGTGGGTTGCTTTTGTTTGAGGTTTTGGGTGGTTGGAGAAGACTCTGTGTGCTAGGGAAGTCATCTCATTAGTTTAAGGTATGAAATTGAATTTTTTTCCAGATCTGTTCACGTAGAAGACTTACCCGTAAGTCGTCTGGCTGTAGAAGACTTACGGGTAAGTCTTCTGGTCAAACGGACGAGTTACTTGTAAGTCGTCATCTTTGTTTGTTAAACAAAATCTAGAGAATACCCTAAGTCGTCTAAGATAAACGAGTTAGTTTTGCATTTGACCGAATTTTGTCAGATATTTTACTTTATGAAAATTAGACGACTTATCTGTATGTCATCTCGGGTTAGTTTTGCAATTGGAAAATAAAACTGAAATATTTAATTTTTCCCAGACGACTTACACAGAAGTCGTTCAATCAGACGACTTACTTGTAAATCGTCCAAGATAAGTAAAGTCATCCAGATTTTTTCTGAGATTCTGGTCAAATCTGGCTTATCTCAGAGACTTTCTCGTAAGTCGTCTAACTGGACGACTTTCAAGTAAGTTGTATGGGAAAAATTAAATATTTAAGTTTTATTTTCGAATTGCAAACTAACCTGAGACGACTTACAGATAGGTCGTCTTGCTTTAATAAAACATTGAGTTTTTTTGGTTTTCCCAGAGACGACTTACTCGTAAGTCGTCCAAGAAATGTCAAATATCTGATACAATTCGGTCAAATGCAAAACTAACCCGTTTATCCTAGACGTCAAAACTGGTAAGTTGTCTAAGAATTTTTTTTTTTAATTTACAAGTAAGTCGTCCAATTTAAAAGTCAATTGCAAAAATGACCTGTTTAGACGACTTCGTGGTAAGTCGTCTAAGTCTTCCTGACGACTTCGTGGTAAGTCGTCTAAGTCTTCCAGACGACTTACTGGTATGTCGTCTGAATCAATGTTTCGTAACCTTTGATTTTCTCTATCTTTACAAATGTTTTTTTATTTTGAATTTTTGCAGATGATGCGTCAGTTACATGCAGTGTATGGAGAATGGTTGTTGAAAGATTGCTGTTGGGATTTTGTGGTTGATAATTTCAAAGGAGCGAGAATGTTTTTTTTCTTTGCTGAAGGTTTGACACATGCTGAACTTGTCGTAATGGCTCAAGAAGATTATAACCTGGACATGAGCACATAATCTGTGGAGATAACCTACTCACTACCAGCAAAAATGATGCACCAGATGGCTCTAGACACCCCTCCTATTCATGTTACAAGTGATAGACAAGTACGAAACTTGCTTGAGATAACCAAAACACATGGAGTACGAATTTTTGTATCAAGGCGTAGCAAGATGAAACGGTTTCATAGTAAAGGGAAGAAGATGATGAAGCTGATGAATGTTTTGAAGATGATGATGATGATTTGGCTGAAGATGAAAATCATGATGGGGAGGAGGATGCTGATATCTCTATTGTTGCTGAAGCAGACGAAAATGGTGAGGATTACAATGTTTATGGAAAGGTTAAAGATAAGAATGAGGAAGAAGATGATGATGTGTTTTGAAGATTTCAAAAAGACATATGATATTGAAGGAGGAAGATCGAATGGTAACAATATCTATGTCAACCAGAGTTTTGTTAGCAATGATGCACTACTTTCAGAGCTGCGGTTGACAGTAGTGAGGCGTAGGTTCTCCTTCAGAATATACAAGTTAACGAAAACTCTCCTTGTGGCAACATGTCGGGTTAGTGGTTGTGGATGGAAGATCAGAGCGAGTGTGAAACATGGGACAAACACATTTTGGGTAACAAAGTATGTGGAGACACATACATGCTCAGTGGGAGACCGAATCACTCAGCGAAGACACTGTACTCCGAAGTATG